ACGGGCGGTTGGGTTGATAGCCCAATATCGATAGCGAGCGTCCTCTAACATCCTTACCGCCCCCTCCCCCTTTTGTGCAGGTATGTGATAAGAGAATCGTGATTCGCCGCGCTCATGGGCGTCACGCGCGACGTCGCGTCAAGAGAACGCCGCGCGCGGCGGGGCGGCAAATTACGATTCTCTTGTCCGTTTCCCTGATTGAAGAAATCGCGTATGAGCCCTGGGGGCCTGGCATTGAGCAATCTCACATGAGAGCTTTTGGGGTTGTGCCTGCCTGGTAGTAGAATCAGGAATCATAATTTGCATGCCTCGGTTCCTAAGAAGCTTTCATCATTTGAGAAGGCAATTGGTTCATCTGTTGCCTTTGCGAAACCATGGCCTAAAAGCTATTTTCGCAGTCATAAACATCATACCTCATATTTCTGTATTCAGCCTGTTTCTGGTGTAAGCAGGAACTTCTTGCGATGGTTCGTACTGTGGCATGCATACCCTCGGCTGGATGTCAATGTGTCTACAGGTTCGGTCTTTTTGCCTCATGGTTTATAGTTCTTATAAAGAGTTGGTTTTGAATGTGTCATCTGCTTATTTATATCAAATGTATTCCAGGACTGAACCATTTATTGAAGTCACCATTCTGTATTCATCCGAAAACAGGGAACGTGGCTGTACCTTTGGATGTAAGCAAGATAAGCGAGTTCGACGTTACGACGTGTCCTCGTGTTGAGTGAGTTTCTTTTGCAGTGTTCTGGTCCTTCAATATGACCCTTAACTTGGCGACTCGAGAAACAAAGAAGTACCTTACATTTCTGCCATGGCTACCGTGACGGTAATACTGCAGAACCTGATTTCTATCTCTAGGCTAATGATGCGTTCGCCGTCTTTTGCTCTCAATTATCCTGATTCCCGTACGCGGGGACTTTCGAACTTAAATTTCAAGATATCTGCTGTTGCCTCTGATTCCAAAAGTACACTCGACATCCCGAGATGTGATAGGCGTGGCTGCGTACTTCAACTAAAGGTGGCGGTGGCTGTGCTTTTGGTGAGATATTTTCATTTTGACACAACTATGGTCATGTCTCTGTCCAACACTGAACAGGATGACAGTTGTCTCAATGAGTAACCCATTCCATTCCTGTTTGCAACGCTGACTCCGTCTCAGGGATAAGGAGTGCAGATCAATATTTAGCAGGTTACTTCCCCTATAGGCCATGTTCTGTCTTTGGGGAGAATTTTTCTAAAGTACTCATCCTTGGAAGTTCCTGCTCCGGTACGATATCCCTCTCCATTCTACATGCCATCTCCTTAAATGCTTCCAACTTCCGAACATTTTTTTCTCGAAGAAATTCTCCAGCTTTTTCCGAAAATACTCCGTTGAGCGAGGGGGGGGCGGGGGGGGAACTTTCTGGAAACCTTGGAAAGTATTAATCAAGAACATGCGACACCACCAACGACCAATTACTACCCCTCTCGTTGGGGAACTACCGTACGACACGACCCCTCTAGTTGGGGATCGCTACAGTAGGATGTGCTCTGGTTCCCTAAGTTTTCCATACATCCTTTACTGGTACGGTTTCATAAATTGGAAGCGGACGTACTTAGTTAGTTCTATTGGGTTGGCCCATAAATAGTGGCGTTTTTTCCTGAGACGAATTTTTATATGGAAAATGACAGATGTACTCAATATGTTCTATGTTAACTGCATTCTGGTTATTCCTCGATTTCTGCCTGATTTTTATTTCATTGAAATGGAGTGTCGGAGTCGACCCAAAAGTGAGTTTTCGACAACAACTTTTTGCACTTTATCTCGGCTCTCAAACTACAGAAGAAGCTCAAAACTTGTGGTTCATATGAACAATGGAAGATGATGTTTATGACACCTTGAAGTTGGTTCAAGCGATCAAGAGACTGGAACTGTGCCTGTGTGCTTCAGCTTTTTAATTAGATATAAAAAAGAGAAACTGTCGAAAATGTTCAATTTCATAGATCTGAGACTTCAGTTTTAGCCCTTATTAGTGAAAAGAGGAAGTTCGAACAATTAAGAAGACTATCGTATAGGGCGAGGGATTCTCCGCAAAAAGTACGAAATTCAATGGGAAAACTTTTCACCTTTAGCGCGATATTTCGAGAGAGAAGAAAACGCCATTACTTATAGACCGACCTAATACTTATTCAGCAGCGGTTTTACCTACCTACTGTAATGGACCAGGTTTTTTTTCTCCTGAAAAATTGGACACCTTTGCTGCTGCCGGAAGACCTCGAGGAATGGAAGGCTTAGTTCGCCCAGCAGGGAGTGCATCTGAGGAAAAGACCACTGGAGCATTTCGACGCTTTCCGCGTGCTTCCATTTCCTATTACGAGCTCACAACTTGGCTCGCTTGTCGATGTTCATGACATTTGCATCATTTTCTGAAGCTGAAACATTGTCCACACCTACTTCCTGATTTATCTAGATTTTCTATTCTGTATTGTTTAGCATTCTCATCAACGAACTGTCGAAAAACGCTGCAGATGAAGATGTTAAGGAAAATCGGAAAATTCTAGGTAAATGCTTGTCTATTCGTAGATTCTCACTAGGCTACTTCTGTTTTTCCTTCTCTTTGGATTCCTTCCTCGAACAGGGCACGGATTCATTTTTTTCAGGCTACAAGCACACATCCCTTGCTCCGTATGTGGAAAACTTCGAAAAGTTCGTAGAGCTTGCTGTGACCAGTTGATTGCCTGGTATTCACTAGTAACGTATGGGAGTCGGTCTTAAATAGGCAATGACTAATTCTGAATCTAATAATTTTGTACGTTACGGGAGATTCCTTATCATTTCCTTGTATATTCTATATCCCGCGCATGGGAGGGGCGTGGCTATACAGTTCATTCGAACCAGGGCAGCAGATACGTTTCTGGCTGGAGATATCGCCGTATGTCTTTGTCCACCTCAAGAAGATGTCAGTTGTCAAACGGTGATATTCTACGAAAATCGCATTCTATGCGATGTACAAGTGAGGTACAAAATCACGCCTCTCTTTTCTTCGGGATACGGAGTATACCTTTTCGTTGTAAAAATCTATGGAAATTAAAGCAGGTGATCTATGGCATGTACGCTGTATATACGTTTTTGTAACATTTTGCTAATAATTCATTTTGTATATTGGTCTCTTCTCACCAACATCGGTTTGGAAGTGAGCTTCGCCTGTGTAGAATACTTCGGATAAACTTGTTAAGATTTCGATAACCACAGAGAAAGTCGTTTTTCTGAGCACCGTAGAGGAGTCGTATACAAATTTTTTCTTGAAAAACACTAGGTGAGACCCACACCGCTCGTCGATGAGACAGCATAGAAGCTAGAAATCTCTACTACTAGTTCCGAGTTCCGGCTCCTAGACGTGATGGTCGCGCTGAGTGGGGAAGTGGAACTTCAGCCCCCGACTGAGGGGTATGCAGGAGTTTTTAGTCGTCTCCGGACAGATGCTGGTCACATTGTGAGAAATTGGGTGTTTGGACGCGACGATGATTTCCAGGGGTCGTACCTGGACCAGGAGAAGAGGGTCGAATTTCAGCTTTCAGAGGTTTTAACGAGTGGTAATTTTCCCTTTTTTACGCGTGCCATCACCTCAGAGTGCAGCATTGGGTTGGGTGAAATGGCGACAGGAAAGCTGCTATTTCTGGTTGCTTGTTGCGTACCCCTCTCCCGTTCGACGTCAAAATGTTGAAAAAATGATGGCAGGTATAGTCATGATCCTTGCAAACAATAGGGCTTGTGAAGAGGCGTAATTTGGAGCGCCACCAGAGCAGCCTTTTCTTAGAAGTTGTTGCAGACTCAGGATGCATCATCGGTGGGAAAGCAGCTCTGGCAGCGCTCCAAGTCCACGTC